GGCCTTCACAGTGTTTTCCATAATGGCTGCACCAGATTGACAACTATTTATCTTCTTTGCTTATTTCTCAGTTTTCTTCTGATAGAGATAATGTTATAGTAAAACCTTCACAAATAAATATGTGGAGTTTTTTCCCCCCATATTTGTCCCCATAGACAACACATTTTTCCCCATAGACACACACAGTGGAGAGTAAGAGCAAGGACTCTGGAGCCAGGCTGCACAAGCAGTCCTGCCTGGGTCTCTTATTAGCTGTGTGACCCTGGGCCGGTTCCTTAACCTTTCTGTGGCTTTGTTTTTCTCAAGTATAAAATTAGGGTAAATGTGACAACCTATAGTGCTAGCACATAATAAATACTTTATGTGTATTTCTTAAATAAGTAAAAATGAATGTGACGTATTTCTAGAAAAGAAATTGCTAGATCAAAGGGTCTACACATTTTTTGGAATAGTGCCTACATCTTTACTTTTTTATAACTATATATCTTTTTTGAAATTAGTTTTTCACTGAATGACACAAAAGGAAACTTAAATTACCAGTAGTTTTGATGTAAGCTTGATTCCAGTCTTAATGGAAAAAACTAGAGCAAAAATAAAGCCATCAAAAAAAAAAAAAAGCTCTCAAGGGAGCTTCAACATTAGACTCTCTCTGCCTTGTGATTTGGTAGGTTTTTGCACTCTCCTCAAATTTTTCATTCTCTGCTCCTTTCTGTGGAATTGGTTACAAAGCACATAAAATCCTTAACTTTAGCCAGCCAAAGACAGGTAGAATGAATTGCATTCCCCCAAAATTCATATACAGGTTAAATATCACTTATCTAGAATGCATGGTACAAGAAGTGTTTTGGATTTTGGATTTTTTATTTTATTTTTGTTTGTTTGTTTGTTTGTTCGAGACAAAGTCTTGCCCTGTTGTTCTGAGTAGAGTGCAGTGGCGTCAGCCTAGCTCAAAGCAACCTCAAACTCCTGGGCTCAAGCCATCCTACTGCCTCAGCCTCCTGAATAGCTGGGACTACAGGCAGGTGCCACCATGCCCGGCTATTTTTTTCTATTTTTAGTAGAGATGGGGTCTTGCTCTTGTTCAGGGCTCAGGATGGTCTCAAACTCCTGAGCTCAAGAGATCCTCCCACTTTTGCCTCCCAGAGTGCTGGAATTACTGGTGTGAGCCACCACCTGGAGTTTGGATTTTTTAGATTTTAAAATATTTGCAGAATATATACAGGTTGAGCATCCTGAATCCAAAAATCTGAAATCCAAAATTCTCCGGTGATCTCAGATTTTCAGATCTCGGACTTTTGGATTTGGGATGCTCAGCCTGTACTGTATGCAAGCCCTACTCCAGATATGACTTTATTTGGAAATAGAGCCTTTAAGGATGTAATTAAGATTAAGTGAGGTCATAAGGGTGAGACTCTAATCTGATATGACTGATGTCCTTATAAGAAGAGACAGGGACACCAGGGATGTGTGTGCACAGAGAAAAGGCCATGTGAGGATGCAGCAAGAAGGTGGCCATCTGCAAGCCAAGGAGAACAGCCTCAGGACAAACCAGCCCTGCCAGCATCTTGACCTTGGACTCCCAGCCTCCAGAACTATGAGAAATAAACCTCTGCTCAGTCTGTGATATTCTGTTATGGCAGCCCTAGTAGACAAATACAGACACAAAGACAGGTAAGCACCTTTAGTCACTTCTTGCCCTTGTGATTGGCTGAGGCAGGTTTTTTTTTTTTTTTTTTGTAAATTTAAACTGTAGAAGTCTTGACAGCAACACATTTCCTATTTTTGTATTTTCAAATAATAAGTATCTTTATACAATTTTACGAGTTAAAATTTGTGGCTTCTTTATCTCTGATTCTGTACCTTGAGATACTACTTGAGGGAGAGGAAACAGTAACATTCTTTTAAAAATTTGTGAAAACTGTTTGTATACACCATAGCAATAGTCCACATCACTGCTTTCTATTCTGACAATCTCCATTTTGTTCTGTGAGTAGAAAATATTAAATTTCAGGGTATTTAAAATTTTTAATATACTTCTATGTTTGCCATAACATCTTGGCTTCAGTAAAAATAATGCTATCACAAGGGAAGTCAGAAAATATCTTGAGACAAATGAAAATGAAAACACAACATACCGAAACTTAGGGGATGCGCTGAAAGTAGTGCTAAGAGAGAAATTTACAGCTGTAAACGCTCCCATTAAAGAAGAAGATCCCAAATCAACAACCTAAATTTACACCTTCAGGAACTAGAAAAAGAACAAATTAAACCCAAAGTTAGCAGAAGGCAATAACAGGTAATAAAGATCAGAGATAAACAAATCCCAAGCCCCTTTCTCCTGCACTAAGGCGGTAAATATCCTTTGTCCTAGGCCAGTTCTCTGGATGCTTAGGACGATTTTACCCTTAGGTAAAAATGTCAGAAGGCAGGAGCCTCACGTAAGCACCATCACGTGGGGGAGAATGGGTGACATGACCCTTTTTTTCCTTGCTGTTTGCGTACGTTTTGATTTACCTCCAAATTTCACGTATGGCTCCTTAAGATTTGTCTCCCCACTCCCCTTTATTTCTTTTTATTCACATTTAATAAAAAAAAATTGCTTGGCTGGGCTAATCTGGTTAAATGTTTCATCTGTATTCCTAAATCTCTCCCTCGCTCGGCAGCTGCATGGAGACTCCTCATCCCCAGGCCTGGGACAGGCGCCGCAGGCGGGGCTTGGGTCAAGGGGAGGCCGGGGGTGCAGGGGAAGGGGTTGGGGATGTGGGCGGTGCGTGGAGTGTGAAGGAGGCGCTGGTAATGTGGGGGGCGGGGGTGTGGAGAGGTGGCAGTGGTTTGGGGGAGAAATGGGGTGGTGTGGGGAGGAGTGTGGGTGGCGTGTGGGTGGCGGTGGTGTGAGGTGAAGTAGGGTGTGGAGGGATGAGGTGGTGCGGGGGAGGACGTGGAGCCAAGTGGTGGTGATGTGAGGAGGGGCGAGTGTGGGGGGTTGGCGGGGGAGGGGCCCCTGCAGGCCCAGCTCCTATTGTGGGCGGAGCCCCCCGGAGCTTGTGGCTCGCGGCCGGGAGCCGACAGGGCTCTCTGCGCAGGCGCACGTCCCTCAGGCGGGGCAGTCCGGGGGCGTCTGTTTGCGCGCGGTCGCGCGTGGGGTTGCCGGGGCTCCATCTTCCGGCTGGGCCCGAGGCGGCGGCAGATAGCGGTCGCCCGGCAGGTGAGGCAGGTGAGGGTTAGCAGGTGTCGCTGTTGCTCTCGCCTCTTCGCAGTGCGTGGCGTGGGGCCCCGGGCGGAAGCGCAGGCATCTCTGTGAGCCGAACGCGAGCCAAGTCCTTGCCTAGCGGTTCGTTGGGTTCCCTGCGTGTGATGCGTGATTCCGCGGCCGCAGCTGCGCGGACCCTGCCTGTGCCGTCCCGCCCCCGCGCGGTCCCCAGACCCGCCTGCCGCGAGGGAAGCGGCGCGGCCGAGCCCGGGACCGTGGCCAGCCTGGCTTTGTCCGTAGCGGCCCTGCGTCGCGTGTGGGCGCGACAGCCTGGGTTTCTGGGAGCTGCGTGTTCTCAGCGGGGCCGACTTGGGGCCCTTCCAGCTGCGGCGAGCTTGTCCCCGGGGCTCTGCTGCGGTGAGGGGGAGGGGCCCTCCGGAACAGGAATGTCTCTGGGAGGACGGACGACCCCCCAGCCTCTGACCGGAGACCTATCAGGGCTGCGGAGAAGAGGCTGAAGAAACGCAGAAAACGAGCAGATCGCCCCGAGGGCCGAGACTTGAGTGATTTCATCACATTCGGAAGCCCTTAGAGACCGCGAGTCACTTGGCAGAGAGAAGGGAGCTGGGGTGAGAGTGGTGGCCAGGGCCGGATGGAGAGAGAAATGTCTTCGTTGGCGGGGATTCCACGGCCGGGAAGATTTTATTTTTACCTCACGCTAAACAGCATCCCGCAGCCCTCCTCCCGTCATTCTTCACTAATGCTTTCCAAAAGCTGAACAGCTTTCTAATCGTGACCATCACCGTGTCTGGCATCAGAGATGTGCTGCTGTGCAGCCTTTCCCGATCTCGTGGAGTCAAAAGAAGTCATAACACAGGGAGGAGTTGCCAGGGTTTTCTATTTTTGTTTCATTTGAAAGAAGGAAGGGAAAAAATGGGCCTGAAAGGGGATATGACTTGTCTGGGATCAATAAGCGTAAATAGAAGTCAGAATCCCTGACTCTGGATTAATGCTATCCACCAATCAAATCGAAACAAGTTACCTGTTGAAAGCTCCTTTTGAGAGACTGCAACCAAAGTAGAAGAGACAGTTTTTTTTTAAAAGACTTGTGCTTAAAATACCTATCCCTGTTTCCAAAGCTTCATGTGGATTCTTTGACTCAGGAATTAACATTATTGTGGCAAAGTAGATGTACAAAACAACCTTGAAGTGGATTCCTGCCCCCTGCCAACATCATTTTTAATGAAGGTCTGGTATTTCATAAATCACTGCAGCCTCCAACTCCCAGGCTCAAGCAATCCTCCTGCCTCAACCTCCTGAATAGCTACAGGTGTGAGCCACCAAGTCCTGCTAATTTTTAAATTTTTTTATAGAGATGGAGCCTTGCTTTGTTGCCCAGGCTGGTCTTGAACTCTTGGCCTCAAGGGATCTTCCCGACTTGGCCTCCTGAAGTGCTGGGATTACAGGCATGAGCCACCATGCCTGGCCAAAGTGCTGTAACTTGTTTAATCAATTCTGTTTTAAATATTTCTATGTTTTTGAGGGGGGGTGATATAAATTGTTAAAGCAGTGGGAAACATTGCAGGTTTACACTCAATGAAATCATATTGGAGTTGCACAGGGACATGAAGATGTTGCCTTTCTTTCTTCTGCAAAATCAAGGATACCCATTGGGTGTGTGGGAGTTTGTAGGAGAATCAAGCAGTTGCACAGCCAGCCAGATATCTCATTCTGTTCCTCTTTCCTTTTTTTTCTTCCAGGTATGCTGTTTGGAGAACAGGTTTCTGTGCTCTTAGAGGAGTACTAGAAAATGCACAAATCCCAGGTAAGTTGTTTTTCTTTATTCTCTATCTTGTTTTCCAGGAGATTCCCTGGTTTTATAAGTGTTCATATCTTCAGATGGAGGGTAAAGGGAGAGTGAGTGGTGGCTGACAAGCAGGCAGAGGTGGCTGTGGTGCTGTGTGGTCATATGATCCTACTGTCCTCAAAGGAGAGCTGCAGATTTGTCTTTTATCCTCCTATCCACATGTGATTTTTCACTGGCCATGAGAAGAAGCCAATTAGTTACTCCTGGGACAGAAAAAATTCCTGGCACTGGAGTCTGAAAAAAATGCTTTGAAGGTCTTCATGGAGTGAAGAACCTTGTAGTAAACCTCCCTGTTGCCTGTCATTGTTTCTTGTCAGAAGTGGAGGGTGGAACTCAGGTTTTCTTACGGGGGCCAAAACATCGTGGATGTGGTAGAGATCTTTCAGACCCCTTTTGATCTAGGGACAAAACTTAAAACTGTCTGGAGAAATGAAAGAAATGGACTGCATGTCTTTGAAATAACTTTTCCTCAAACATGTAGATTGGACAACAGATGGTTCAACCTCATATTCTTTGGCAAATGTTTCTGCACTATCTGTTCACTTTTTTTTCTTGTGATAAAATATATATAACATAAAATATGCTATTTTAAGCATTTTAACTATAAAGTCCAGTGGTATTAATTACATTCACAGTTGTGCAATCCAAACAAAAACTCTGTACCTGTTAAGCCTGAGGTTCCCAACTCCACTGCACAGCAAGAGGCAAGTGGCAGAGAGCTTGAGCGAAGCCCCACCTGCACCCACAGCCGCTCCCCATAGCTTCCATCACTGCCCTAGTCCCCCCACCCCAATCAGCAGAGGGCTTCAGACCCACCTTCACAGGAGTGTGAACCCCACTGCAGACTGTGCACACAATGGATCCAGGTTGCGCACTCCCCATGAGAATCCAATGCCTGGTGATCCGAGGTGGAGGCAAGGCAGTGACGCAGCCAGTCCCTGGTGTCAAAAGGGTTAGGGACCGCTGTGTAAGCAATAACTACCCATTTCCCCCTCTCCCCAGGCCCTGGTAACCTCAGTGTACTTTCTGTCTCTATGAGTTTCCATATTTCTAGATATTTAAGTAGAAGCATAAAATATTTGTCCTGTTGTATCTTATTTCACCGAGCTAATATTTTCAAGGTTCATTCATGTAGCATGTGTCAGTGCTTAATTTTTTTTTTTTTTTTTTTGTTTTGAGACAGAGTCTCCACTCTATTGCCAGAGTAGAGTGCCATGGCCTCAGCCTAGCTCACAGCAACCTCAAACTCCCGGGCTCAAGCAATCCTACTGCCTCAGCCTCCCGAGTAGCTAGGACTATAGACATGCGCCACCACGCCCGGCTAATTTTTTCTATATAGATTTTTAGTTGTCCAAATAATTTCTTTCTATTTTTAGTAGAGATGGGGTGTCACTCTTGCTCAGGCTGGTCTCAAACTCCTGACCTTGAGCGATCCACCCGCCTCAGCCTCCCAGAGTGCTAGGATTACAGGCGTGAGCCACCGCGCCCAGCCAGTGCTTAATTTTTTAAATGGCTGAATAATATTTTATTGTATGGATAGACCACATTTTGTTTATTCGTTTGTCGATGGGTATTTGAATTATTTTCCACCTTCTGGCTATCATGAATAATGCTGCTATGAGCACTGGGGTACAAGCATCTGTTTATTCATTCACATTTTAGTCCGCTGTATGCAATTTGCCACTCCCTATCACCTGCCCAGTATGTCCTAATAAAGTTCAACAGCAACCTCCTTGCAGTAAAATGAATGTTTTCCAGACCTTACCTTACTAGAACATTCTGCTGTGTTAGGTAGTTGAAACACTTTGACCTTCTCCTAGAAAGGCCCCTTTCTCTGGTGTTTTGTGACCTCATTCTTCTGGCTTTATTCCTACTGCTCTGATTTCTTTGTCTCACGCACCATGTCTTCTTCCCCTTGCCCATTCTCACGGCATATCCCCAGATCTCCATCCTTAGCTCCTTTGTCCTTTTTACTCTGCCAGACCTTCCTGCATACTTCATGCTCTCTGTGGTGGTTTTAACACCCATGTGTCTCTGTAGCCTAGGCTCTTATGTCTTATCCATCTCTGTACAGATGCATAGAGGCACCTTATTTTCAACAGTTCCAAAATTTAGGGTATTTAAAGCCCCCCTTCCCATCTCCCATCTAATCTTGCTGCTCTATTCCTTGCCAGGTGATGGTTCACACCAGGCAGAGTAAAGCTACCAAAATGGAGATCATCCTGAATGTTTCCCTGTCTCTTACCTCTGACCTCATCCTGTCTGGGATCTAGGTTTTGCTAGTTTTAAGATGTTAACCTTTCTTAAACTAACTCTTTTTTTTTTTTTTTGGAGACAGAGTCTCAATTCTTGTTGCCCAGGTTAGAGTGCTGTGGCGTCAACCTATCTCACAGCAACCTCAAACTCCTGGGCTCAAGTGATCCTACTGCCTCAGCCTCCCAAGTAGCTGGGACTACAGGCATGCACCACCACGCCCGGATAATTTTTTCTATATCTTTTTAGTTGTCCAGATAATTTATTTCTATTTTTCAGTAGAGATGGGGTCTCGCTCTTCCTCAGGCTGGTCTCGAACTCCTGACCTTGAGCGATCCTCCTGCCTTGGCCTCCCAGAGTGCTAGGATTACAGGCATGAGCCACCGCACCCAGCCTTAAACTTACTCTTTCTCCTTAATTTCTAATCCCCTTATCAGAGCTTCATTTTCTCTCCCCTGGACTATTAGAACAGCTTCTAGAGTAATTTCCTTGCTTCTTTCTCCCCCAGATTAAGTCTGTCCTCCTCCTGAGTAATTAATCTGAAATGCATTTCAAATGATGTTACTTTTATATGGAAAGCACTTGAGTAGCTTCCCAGTACCCCTAGGGCCAAAGCCAATCCCCTTATCAATTTAAGGCTATTGGGAATATGACCACTTCCTTTTCCTCCTCAATTTTGTTGATCTTTCCAAAAAATCAACTTTTGGTTTCATTGATTTTTCTCTATTCTCTATTTCATTGACCTCTAATCTTTATTATTAAATATTTCCTTCCTACTGCTAGATTTGGGTTTAGGTTGTTCTTTTTCTTCTATTAAATAGTTCTTAAGATGTAAAGTTAGATTGTGCATTTTGAGATCTTTTTTGTTTTTTAATGTTTTGTTTATAGCTATAAATTTCCCCCTTAGCTCTGCTTTTACTGCATCCTATAAGTTTTGGATGTTGTATTTTTGTTCTCATTTGTCTCCTAGTATTTCCTAATTTCCCTTGTAATTTCTTCGTTTTTCCATTGTTCGAGAGTATGTTATTTAATTTCCACAAATTTGTGAATTTTCCAGCTTTACCTCTGTTACTGATTTCTAACTTCATTTGTTGTGGTCAGAGAAGATACTTTATATGATATGTATCTTTGTACACCTGTTGAGACTTAATTTGTGGCCTAACATATAGTCTATCCTGGAAAATGTCCTGTGTGAGCTTGAGAAGAACTTGTATCCTCTGTGGTGTTCTCTGAGTGTGGTTTGGTGTCTGATGCTAATTTGGGGAAATTTTCAGTAATTGTTATTTCAAATATGTTTTTTGATCCTTTCTTTTCATTCTGGTATTTCCATTATACTTACTTTACGTCTTTTATAGTTGTCCCACAGCTCTTGGATAATCTGTTTTGATTTTTTTAGTCATTGTTTTCTTTGCTTTTCAGTTTTGGAGGTTTCTATTCACATATCCTCAAGCTCAGAGATTCTTTCCTTAAGTGGGGTTTAGTCTAAAATAAGTCCATCAAAGGCATTCTTCATTTTTATAACATTTTTGATTTCTAGCATTTCTTTTTGGTTCTTTCTTAGAGTGTCCATCTCTCTACTTACATTTCCCATCTTTCTTGCATGCTGCCTGTTTTGTCCATTAGAACACTTAGCATATTAATCATAGTTGTTTTAAATTCCTGGTTTGATTAATTCCAACATCCCTGCCATGTCTGGTGCAATGCTTGCTATGTCTCTTCAGTGTGTGCTTTTTGCCTTTCAGTATGCCTCGTAATTTTTTCTTGGTAGCCAGACATGATATACTGCTGTAAATAGGCCTGTAGTAATATGGTGGTAAGGTGTAGGGGGAGGAGAAGCATTCTAAAGTCCTATGAATAGGTCTTAGTCTTTTAATGAGCCTGTGTGTCTGAACTGTGAACTACAGTGTTTCTCAGGCCTCCTCCCCGCACCAGGTGGGATAGGGTGGTTAGTGGGGGCTGGAGTTAGGTATTTCCCTTTCCCTATTTGCCAGGTAGGTTAGGCTCTGATGAAACCCTGGCCAGTTAAGCTCTGGTTAAATAATTTCTCCTGAAGGCAGACCTTGTTAAGAAATAAGCTCTGATGTATTTCAAAATGGTTACTTTCCCTCTCCCTCAGCCAGAAACAGGAGGAAAATTTTCTCTCATATTTACTGTGAGAACCTTGTCAAGCTCCTGGAGGTAAAAATGCACAAAAGTGTGGGGCACTCTAAAGACTGGGTCCCCCTGGAGTTTTTATCTCTCAGACTTGTCCAGTTCTAGCCTCCAGCAATTTGTCAATTACAGTTTGGATTTTCTTACCCTGGCACTAGTTCCTGTGGAGGTTTAGCTCCAGTTAAGTTGTGATTCTGTGTATCCACCTGTCACTCCAATTTTGACAGCAGGGGTTTGCCTTATGACCTCACTTCTCTTATGAATCTTCAAAGAGTTGTTGATTTTTCAGTTTGTTCAGGATTTTACTCCTTGGGACACAGTGGCAACTTCCAAACTCCTTATGTGTGGAACTGGAAACCCAGGACTCCCTGGTTTCTTTCTCTCTCTCTCTTTTTTGATTCAGGGTGTCACTCTGTTGCTTGGGCTAGAATGCAATGGTGTCATCATAGGTCACTGCAACCTCAAACTCTGGGGCTCAAGCGATCCTCCTGTCTCAGCCTCTGGGGTAGCTAGGATAATAGGCATGCGCCACTATGACCAGCTGATTTTTAAAATTTTTTATTTATATATTTTTGAGACAGGGTCTCTCTCTCTCTGTAGCCCAGGCTAGAGTGCAGTGGTGTTAGCATAGCTCACTGCAACCTCAAACTCCTGGGCTCAAGCAATTCTCCTGCCTCAGCCTCCTGGGTAGCTGCGACTATAGGCATGCACATGCCTGGCTAATTTTTCTATTTTTTGTAGAGAATGGGGTCTTGCTCGAGATGGTTTCAAACTCCTGGCCTCAAACAATCCTCCCGTCTTGGCCTCCCAAAGTGCTAGGATTACAGGTGTGAGCCACTGCACCTGGCATATTTTTTATTTTTGTAGAGATGGGGTGTCACTCTTGCCCAGGCTGGTCTCAAACTCCTGGCCTCAAGTGATCTTCCCACCTTGGCCTTCTAAAGTGCTAGAACTATGGGTGTGAACCACTGAGCCCGGCCTCCCTGGTCTCTCTTTTTTTTTTTGAGACAGAGTCTCACTTTGTTGCCCGGGCTAGAGTGAGTGCCGTGGCGTTAGCCTAGCTCACAGCAACCTCAAACTCCTGGGCTCAAGCAATCCTTCTGCCTCAGCTTCCCGAGTAGCTGGGACTACAGGCATGCACCACCATGCCCGGCTAATTTTTTCCATATGTGTATATTTTTTAGTTGTCCAGATAATTTCTTTCTATTTTTTAGTAGAGACGGGGTCTCACTCTTGCTCAGGCTGGTCTCGAACTCCTGATCTTGAGCGATCCACCCGCCTCGGCCTCCCAGAGTGCTAGGATTACAGGCGTGAGCCACTGCACCCGGCCCCTGGTCTCTTTTTGATGGCATTCTTGGTTTAGTGGAGAAGGTGACATTAAAAAAATAAACAGATAACTGTAGTCTTTTGTGATGCCAAGCCTAATGAGGCTCCGTGGATACACCCTGTCACTACCTGTGCCCCACACTCATGCTCCAGCCTTGTGGGCTGACTTTGGCCCTGCTCCATTTCCTTCTCTGCATCTCCTTGAGTTCATCAGTCATGAGATAACTAGGGGGTCATCTTACCCAGGAAACTCTTCTTTCCTTGTTCTTTGTCCCCCTCTGGGTCCATTGCCCTTCTTCCCTGTGTTCCCACAACACCTGTGCTATCCCTGTGGCTGCATTCTGTCCCATGTTTGGAAAACACCTGTTTGTTTCAGTGTGGACAGTCAGACCATTAGCCCTCCAAGGTCCAGGTGTACACTGTGTTCATCTTCACACTTCCAGTTCCTCACCCCATGCCTCCCTCCTAGTAGGTGCTTATCAAATATTTGTGGCTGGAGGATTTTATTTGGGAATCAAACTTTATTCTTACTGGATAAGCACCTTGCCTGGACACAGAGCAGAGCCACCCAGGAGAATTAGAGTTTCCTTTCCCTTTTCAGAATGCTGTCTTGGACCATCAAAGGTGGAGTTTTTATTAGTACTTTCACTGTCTTTCCCATTTGAAGAGCCATTCAAAAGCCATAGGAATATCCTTCTTCATGGAGCTCTTGTTCATTTCTGTTGCCCATTTTTCTGATTGTGTGTCTTTTTCTAATCAGTTTATGAGAGTTCTCTACGTCATCAGGAAAGGAATCCTTTGTCATGTGTATGGCATTGGAGAAAACTTCTCCCAGTTCTGGTTTGCCTTTTCACTTTCTTCTTATTGACTTAATGAATAGATATTCCTAATTTTAATGGGATCTAACTTAGTCTTTTTCTTTATGAGTGGTGCTTTTATGCATCCTGCTTATGAAATATTTTCCTATCTCAAGGTTCTGAAATATTTTTCTGTGTTTCTTGTAGAAACTTTATTGTCTTACCTTAAAAATTAAAGCTGAGATTGTTGTCTCCTTCTCAGTGTCTCAGAAAAAGCTTTTAATATTTTATCATTATGTTGGTTGCTTTCTCATATCAAGGAAGTTTCTTTTCATAGTTTGCTAAGAGATTCTATCATGAATGGGTATTAAATTCTATCTGGTGCTTTTTCTTCCTTTTAAGATTATCATGTACCTTCTCCTTTATTCTGTAAATAAGCTAAATTTTATTGAATAAAATTTCAAATATTAACCCAATCTTTTATTCCTAGAATCAATCTAATTTAGTCATGACATTTCTCTTATTTTATCACTGGATTTGATTTGCTAATATTTTGTTTAGAATTTTTACCACTGTTTTTGTAAGTGAGTGGCCTGTAATTTCCTTCTTGTAATGTCCTTTTCAGGTGGTGTCAAGGTTGTGCTGGCTGCAGAGGTTAGAAAATATTCCCTTTTTTTCTTTTCTCTGGACCAGTTTGTATGTTATTGGGTTTTATTCTTCTTTAGAATTTAGAAACAGTTTAGAAACATTTGCTGGTGTGAACTTTTAGGGCTGGAGTTGTCTTCATGGAAAGGCTTTAAGTTATGACCTCAGATAAATGGGTAGAAGAATAGATAATATACTCTTATCCATCTTACATTTTTAGAATTTCTAGTGATGTCACCCCTCATTTCTGATACTGGTCATTTGTTGTCAGTGCCTTCTCCTCTTCTCTCTTTTTCTCTCAGTATAGTTAGAGGTTTAAAAATTTTATTGATATTTTCAAAAAACCAATTGTATATTCCATTAATTTTTATCTATTTTTCTGTTCTCTATTTTATTATTTTCTATTCTCACCTTTCTTTATTTCTGATAATTTTTTTTTTTGTGGCTTCTTAAGGTGAAAGATGAGTATTGATTTTAGATCTTTCTTTTCTTACGTAGGCTTTTTAGCACTATAAATTTCCCTGCCCATATTACATTAGCTACATCCCACAAATTTTTGTATGTTATGTTTTCATTTTTATTCAGTCCAAATGCTTTCTTTTGTTGGTATTTTCTTCCTTTGATTCTTAGATTATTTAGGAGTATATTATCTAGTTTCCAAATACTTAGGAATTTTCCAGATGTTTTTGGTTATTGAATTTCTAATTTTTTATTGCTTTCAAATTATGTGGTCAGAGAGCATATTTCATATGATTTGAATCCTTTTATATTTATTTAGACTTGTTTTATGGTTCAGAACTATGCTGTTTCTTGGAGAATATCTCACCACCTTCCGTGTGGCCCACCCAGTTCCTAAGTTTCATGGAAGATAATTTTTCTACAGATGGGGCTGAGGCGGGTGTGGAGCTCAGATGGTGATGCGCGGCCCAGTTCCTAACAGGCCATGGACCAGTACCAGGCCACAGCCCAGGGGTTGGGTACTGCAGCATTAAGCTTATCATTATTGTGTGGATTGACAGGATTTATATATTATTTACTTAAAAATAAACAAATTGAGAGTGCTCAAAACTTTATTGCTAGCGTGGTGATGAAGTATTTTGGAGACCAGTAAACTATGGGAGTAAGTTCAGATTACTTCATAATCTATCCCTAAATACCTTTGCAGCTCTTTATCATCCTACAGCCCTCAGCCATTCTCCTATCACATTGCTGTGTGTTTTTCATGCCTCTTTCACTTTGTGTATATGATCATGCCACGTTAATGAAGATGTATTATCAGGTTGGGCTTCATTGAATAGCATAAAATAGAACCATATTTTCTACCATTATTTAACACTGATTGTAAATGATTCTAGCATAACTCTCATAATACTCCAGTACAGGCTAAATGTTCTTAAATATGATATGTTTCCTTGCTAAAATTTAAACTCCTAGAAGACAGAAAAAAAGGATTTAGTTAGGTTAATATTCCTGGCAAGCTGTGACAGTTTAAGACACATGGTAGGAGCTTTATTTTTTAAAAATTAATAAGGTAATACACTGTTTCTATCATGCTATCTCTTTATTCCACAAAGTAAAACACAAAACAAGGTAAGGGAACATGCAAGCTACATAATATTTTATGGTAAATTCTCAAAATAAATTTAATAAGAATATCCCACATATCTTTTTCATGCCATCCAATATTGATCATGTTGGATTGAACAGACATGTGCTGTTCAGGGATCTGTGTCATTCAAGGATGTAACTGTGAACTTCACCCGAGATGAATGGCTACGACTGAATGGTACTCAGAAGACCCTGTACCGCGATGTGATGCTGGAGAATTACAGCCACCTGGTCTCCATAGGTGAGAAGTTTTCTCTTTGTTATGCCCAACAGCATATGTTTCTTTTCTTAGTTCATAGCTGCCAGAACTCATGGGCCCTTTGTGGAGTTTAATAATATTCATGTGTACATTTCCAGGGACAACGATGATTGTTCCGTTTTAGGCATAGAAAGAATGTGTTCTCACCTCCCTACTGAGAGGTTCAAATAGGCACCTTTATTGTGGGACTCCTTTGGCAGCACTTTCCTGTCCTTCAGGAGCCCCAATATCCAAGCAGTGCATCAGAAGTCTCACCCTGTATCTTGTTCACAGGATATTGCATCACCAAACCTGATGTGATTTTCAAGTTGGAGCAAGGAGAAGAGCCGTGGACATTAGATGGAGAATTCCCAGGCCAGAGTTACCCACGTAAGTTGGTTATCACGAGGCCAGAAACAAGCCAGTGGAAGTCAGGTCCCAGAGGGGTTGGTTCAGGGGTTGGAACCTTTGGACTGTGTCTCAGATAACCTGAATTACTCCTTCATCTATCCTTCATAAATACAAATGCTTTCCTTTCCTGCTTAACTTATAGGGAGGTTTACCATTCTTATACCTAAAATCTAATCCCTCCCTGCCTCATCTTTTACCTTTTTTCTTTGTTTCTCTAGTATTCATTTTCCTTCCATTTTCATGGACTCTTTCTTTTTTATCCCTCTTCCTCATATTAATTAATTAAAGTATTTATTCTGAAGATACTCATTTTAGGCCTACTCTGTACCCCTCATGTTGTTCTTGGGGCTATACTGGTGAACAAAATGTCAGGTGGTAATAAGAACAATGAAGAAAATTAAAGCAGGCTAAAAGGAGATAGAGAATGGGTTTTGCTCTTTTAAAAGGTGGTCAGAGAATGCCTGTTTGATGAGATCAGCATTAGAGCAGATAGTTGAATGAAGTAAGTGTGTGAGTTGTACGGCTTCTGGGAGTTTCAGGCAGAAGGAACAGCCACACCAAGTCTTTGGGGCAGGGGTTTGTCTGGAGTGTTCTGGGACTAGCAGTGAAGCCAGTGTGGCTGCAGGGAAATATCCTAGAGGGAAGCTGGTAGGAGGTGACATCAGAGAGGTAGCCAAAGTCAGATGATATCCAGTCTTACAGGTCATGGTAAGGACTTTGACTTTAATCTGGGTGAGATGGGTAGCTATTAATGGATTTCAGCAAAAGAGTATGTTTAAAGAAAATTTATCTGGCTACTGTACAGAGCAAATTGGAGATGAAGTAAGGATGGTGACAAAAGTAGAAACAGAAAGACAGTGTGAAATGATGGCTACCCCCAAATACCATTGAAATAACCTTTTTAAAAGGCAAAGTTGAATTTATTGCTCACCCTGACAATTTTAGTAGCATCTTGGAAGACAGTGAACAAAGTCAAATTATTGTTGTGATTTGAGGGTATAATTTAAGGTTTGTTTTTAATGTGGAGGCCTGATTACTGTTACTATTGGGTAAGGATCATGAGAGAGTGGTTTAAGATTTGTGGACACTCTGAGGATTGAAGAGTCCTGCAGAATATATAGCTGATTATCTATGAGAAAGTTGGGCAGGCTGTTTAACATATTGATTTCCACACTGGAAAAAAAATTTTTTCCCTGGGGCTATGGTGTTTTATTAAAACAAAATGATCCTTTCTAATTTGTTATTTTTTATTTTCTGTGTGTGAGGTATATACTACACAATCCACGTTTTTAGCATTAAATTGTCAATATTAATTGTAACGATAAGAACATCAACAAGTAAGATTTTCATGAACCAACTGTAGGGTTTTGCTTTATGAGGCCCTGGGCTCAAAACTAGCCTGAGTTAAATACAACTCACATGGCAGTCAGTGTGTTAAAAGGGTTTTGGGGAAGCTCCCAAAATGAACAATAAAGTTTACAAGTGTTATCTTCCTGGGCAGGAGTTTCCTGGAATGGTAAAGTTATGTTAATGAAGACAGTGGAATAGGAGTCATGTTAATGGAGATAGTCAGCTGTGTGGGTGTTGATGGATTCAGCTCTCACAATTAGGAGATGTTTGTAGTGGTTCAGCTGAGAAATGATAGAAGCTTGGACTTTGAGGTAGTAGAGGTGATGAAATGTGGCTGGATGTTTTGAGAGTAGAGCCAGTAGCATTGCTGTGGAATTAGATGTGGAGGATGAGAGAGAGAGCAGAGTTAGGAATAACCTCAGTTTTGTCTGAGCAACATGATGATGGGGAGAGGATGTGTACACTGGGATGGAAAAACTGCACAGAAGCTGTTGGGGGGAAATATTTTAAAGAGGTTACTTTAGGAAATGTCAATATCAAGGTGATTATTAGTTATTAAAGTTTAGATATCGATTAGGCACTTGGACATACATTAATAAAATCCGGAGTCTGGGAGAAGACAGGAGTACGTATATAAATTTGAAAGTCATCATTAAAAGATGATATGCAAAGTCATGAGAGTGCCTTGGGGGAATATGTGTAGATAGTAGATGAAAGAAGGGGCTGAGACCTGGGCCTTACAACACTTAGAATTACTATGCAGGAGGTAGGAGGAAGCCAAGAGATTATGATATCTTGGCAGCCAAGTAAAGGTGCTTTTCAAGAAGGAAAGAAGGAATTTCTGGTTTGAATATAGATGTGCGAAGTCAGCATTTTCCCCTTCTCTTCCTGTAAGTCATCCAAAACCATCTAGGATACTGAGAACACAAGTTATGAGTTCCTACAAATCTGAGTAATGGTTAAAACCTGAAACTATGAAGTAATTAGAAGAACTCCTGAAAGCAATAAAAAATCAACCTAGCATACATGCACCTGGAACCAGAGAGAGAGAGAGAGAGAGAGAGAGAGAGAGTGAGTGAGTGTGAGAGTATTCTAGGGTAGCTGAACCCAGAAGAAATGTAAGGGACTTCTAAAATATAAATATAATAATAATAATGTCAGTTAAAATAATAAAAATGAAATAAATTTAAATGTTCAAGAATTCAGAGAATATTTTCATAAACCCATTTCAAAGAAGATGAACTTCAATTAAGAGATAGTAAAATATAATTCAACAGGAGATTATGTGTGAGTATTGAATTTAACTGAAAACTAAATCTAAAACCAATGTGGGAATTGGATCTCAGGACAGACTGTGAATGTTGTAGACTTGGACAATGTAAAAAAAAAACATTTAAATAAAACTGGGAAGAAGAACGGGGAAACTGATGGGAAAAAATTTATGTATGCTGGGTTTCTCATTTTTAATAGTGGAAGTTGCATCAAAGGATAACATTTAAAGCCAACAAATCAAGTATATATGATCATCCCATGTAACCACTAACAAAGATGAATTAGAATTGAGTGGTGAGTAAGATATAGAAGAATGGAGAGAAATATAGTAATTTCTTTATTGTTCATAGTAAGAAATCACTGGGAACTATCTAAAGAAATATATTGGTAACTGAGAGTATTGTAAAAAGTTTATAATTTTAAAAGTAACAAGTAAAATGGAAATATGATTATTTTTGTTACCAGAAGCAAAATACATTAAATAAAGCAATGTAAACAGTGAAAAGCTCTCTATATAATATAAACAGCATAACATAAAAATGCGAGCTAAAATCAAATATATTTGCTTGAAATAGTAAATATAAACATACCAAGCTTACCAATTAAAATAAATGCTACTTTGGGCACTGGCCAAGATGGAGTAAGGTAAATATAGCCTGTCTTTCCCACTTATTACAAATAAAACTCCTGATAGTACAAAAATCAGCTACTTGAGGGCTCTGAAAATCAAACAATAGCAAGCAGGTTGGGAAGGGAGTCAAAAATTGAAGAGAGGATTCACATGGCTGTGAGTTTCCTATTTCTATTTTTTTTGCTTATCTCCTGTCTTCGGCTCTAGCATGGCCCCAGTACAGAACTGCACACATAGCAAGGGCAGCAAAAACTCCAAGGGAAGTCCTGTCTTTCTGAACACATATTGGGAAAAGAGATCCATGGAGCTGGAGTATATGGGGGGATCCCCATGTTTTCCTCTCTTTTCCTTTTCTAGTCCTGCCCTAATAGTGGCCCCAGTTGGGGGGCTGTGTTATGGCATGTGGTGGTAGGTACATGGGCAGCTAAGACTCTGTGGTCAACTTTGTCATTCTGGCCAGAGGAAACAGGAAAAGGGGAACCTATGGACTGAAGAATGTGGGGGAAGGTTTATATAGGTTTTTTTTCTACTCTGTTTTCTCTTGCTGCTTCCTCTCTTGCTCTAAGGTGGCCCTACCTTAATGGAATTGTGGCTAAAATTCTGAGAAAAACCCCTCTTTTGGCCAGAGACCCAGGAAAGTTGCCCTTGGGAGTTGGATAGTGTTGTGGAGAATCCCAGAGAAGGAAGAGCTAGAAAAGGATCACCTGAATTGTGATGAGTCTGGTATAAGTCTGAGAGGCTCACTCCGGACTTGCATGTGTGGGATAGATCCAAAGCAGCATAGCAAAGGCTTCGAGAACTAAGTAGCAACAAAAAACCATTGCCTACACCCTAGACTACCACCCAAGTGACTCCTGTTCAGATCAGACCCAATACAGGATAGCAGAGTCTTTGAAAACTGAACTGATATTGGAACTGGTGCCCATTAAAGGGAAGACAGAACATGTGATCTGAACCTAACTGGATTGATTGCCTCCTGAAACAATACCACCACAGTCATTCTTCAGAGGACCTAGAATTTCACAACATAATATTCAAAATTTCCAGAATTACTCAGAATACTAAGGGCCAAGAAAATCTGACCAATTTTCAAGGGAACAAGCAATCAAGATGATCCAGTTGTTTGAGTTGTAAGACAAGGACTTTAAAACAGCTATTGTAACTATGTTCCATGATATAAAGGTAAACACAATTAAAGTGAATAGAAAGATAGATATCAGAAATAAAAACTATAAAACTATTTGAAAAATCTAGAAACTTTAGACCTGAAAACTGTAATACCGCAAGTGAAAAATTTGCTAAATATCAATAACAGAGTGGAGATGACAGAAGAGTGAGTGAGTGAATGTGGAGATAGATGAACAAAAATTACTCAGTCTGAAGAAGAGGGAGAAAAAAGATAGGAAAAAACAGTAACAGAATTCAAGGACCTGTGAGATGATACCAAAAGATCTCATATGCATATCATTGGAATTCCAGAGGAGGGTGTATTCATTTTCTAGGGCTGCCATAACAAAGTCTGGGGACTTCAACAACAGAATTTTTTTCTCCACTTCTGGGGGATGCACCAAGTCCAAGATCAAGGTGTGGGAAGGGTTGGTTTCTCCTGAGATCTCTCTCCTCAACTTGTAGGTGGTCATTTTCTTTTTATCTTCAGTGGTCTTATCTCTATGAATGTCTATGTCTTAATCTCTTCTTGTAACGACACTAGTCATATTGGATTAGGGCTCACCCTAGTGACCTCATTTAACCTGAATTACTTCATTAAAAACCCTATATACAAATATAGTCACCTTCTGAGGTCCTGGGGGTTATGACTTTAACATATGAATTTTGTGGGACACATTCATCCCAT